TCCGCTGTCAAAGGTAAGAGTGTGATGAAGGGTAGCAATGGGTCTAGATAGCTGTGACTATTCTGTTCAATTATATATCATTTATTTTAAATGTGACCTCATTTAGAATTGTTCACCTTTTAGAATAAAATGCTTCTCCCTCCACCTTATTGGTTTTTTCCTTTTTGATGCTACACTGGTGGAAACTCCCGAAAAAAAAGTGCTAACAGTGGTTTCTTAGCCCATTTGAAAGATGGTGGTTGGAGTGAGTCCCACAAATAGATTTCATCCTCCCCATCATCTTATTTTGGTTACAGTATTAAACCTAGGGTGTGAGGAGAAAGGGTACCTGCTGTGGGGCTGAACTGGAGCTGTTCCTGGAGAATGTGATGGCTTGGACCATCAGAAAAACAAATCCAATAAAAAAGAAAAGGAAACTCCTGGAAGCAGTTTCCTGGCAGAGGCTCAGACAGTTCCAGGCTGTGAGGCAGCAAGTAGAAGGTTTGGTTCCCGGGCCAGTAGGTGTGTTGGCAGAGAGAGAGGCTGGGAAAGCTGCAGGCAGAGCGAGGGGTCTGGTGAGGTGTTAGGGCAGAGCAAGGAGAAGAGCAGCCCTGTCCCAGCAAGTGTGGAAGGAGGAAGAAACCACGGAGCCCGACCTCTGCTCCCTCTCCCCCAGGGGGCACCGCAGCTGCCCTGTCCCCCCACATACCCTGGAGGCAGTCTGGCTGCCAGCTCGTCCCTGCCTGCTCTCACCCAGGCCGAAGGGGGCCATGGAGTCCCGGGGGCCATGTTGCACACCGGGTGTGCCTGTGGGGAGAGCAACCTGTCTGAGGCACAGTCCATGTAAGCTACCAGTCTAAGCCTTTGTTTACAATAGATGTCTAAATGTCAGGAAACCAAGAACTTTTAATGGCCTTAAAGAGCCTACAAAAAGTATATTATCCTCAGTGAAACACAGTTAATTCAAGAAATTGGAAAAAACTCTTAAAGAAATTCTAGAGAAGGCTCACATCCATGAAACAAGCACTGTGGACCACCGAGCATTTGGAGAATAGTTGTTAGAAACAAAGAACAATGGTAGCTACAATTTTAAAATTCAGTAAATGGCCCTCGCCAGTTTGGCTCAGAGGATAGTGCCTGCCCAAGGACTGAGGGTCCTGGGTCTGATTCCTGTCAAGGGCACATACCGTGGTTGCAGGCTCAGTCCCAGCCCTGGTTGGGGTACATTCGGGAGACAATCAATCTATGTGTCTATCTCCTCCCCTCCCTTCTACTCTCTCTAATAATCAATGGAAAAATATCCTCAGGTGAGGATTAACAACAAAGATAAACCACACCTCAGTATATGCCCCAGTAGCGCAGATATTGAAGATCAAACTCAGTGATTTAGGAAGCCAAAGTGGGATCCAGCCCAGCAGGTGGCAAAGAAATGAAAAACTGAAACATGGAAAATTGCTCTGGAAAGTTCAGTGTTTGTGTAATTTAGAATTAAAGAATAGTCTATATCAGGGGTGGAGAACCATTTTTCTGCCAAGGGCCATTGGATATTTATAACATTACTAGTGGCCCAGTGCACAAAATTTGTGCGTAGGGGGAAGGGGTGTCCCTCAGCCCGGCCTGCACTCTCTCCAATCTGGGACCCCTTGGGGAACATCCCTCTCGCAATCTGGGACCACTGCCTCCTAACCACTCGCCTGCCTGCCAGATTGCCCCTAGTCACTCTGCCTGCCGGCCTTCTCACCCCCAACTGCTCCCCCCAGCCAGCCTACTCACCCCTCTCCCCCTCCGGCCTGATCGCCCGTAACTGCCTCTGCCTCGCCACCATGGCTTTGTCCGGAAGGTCTAATTAGCATATTACCCTTTTATTAGTATAGATTCGCTTAATATAAATGTATGTTGCTGTGTTAAAAGCTCCTAAGTTTATTGAATTTTGAGTCCTGCGTGCAGTTGCCTTGGCAGGGCCAGACCAAATGGTTTCTCGGGCCTCTTATGGCCCATGAGCCAGGCGCTCCCTCCCCCAGCCCGGTTTGTATAAAAGAGATGCAAGATATGGTGATCAAGGAAATAAGACAGTTTTTCCTATAAGAGTCCATTAGGTCTAGAGATAAATATTTAAAGAAGAACCCACTAGGAATTTCTGAATCTCAAAGAAAAATAACAGCTGTCTAGATAGAATTAGGATAGCTGCCAAGAGGGTGAAAAACAAACAGTTTCTCACTTCTCATCTACAACAATAAATAGTAGAAGAGATTGAGGAAGGTCTTCAGAATCCTGAGGGGTTAAAAATCACAACCACCGAATTCTCTTCCAGTCAAATTATTCTTTAAATTCCAGGTAATTCTAACAAAACTTGATAGATTATTAGGGCTAAAAGTATGCCAGAAGTCTTACCTAGTGAAGGGACAGTGGAGGAGAGGGATGGTAGATACTCTGTAATGCTTGGCATTTAGAGAGAATTCAAAACTACTTGTTTAAAAGAAAAACTAGTAATAGATAGCTACAGGTTAATAGTAAATCCTACTATTAACTATTTACTATTAACCTGCAGCTAAAAGGTGTGGGGTCAGGGGAGTGTAAGACAGGATAGCCCAGAGAGCATAAAATGGTAAAAAAAAAAAAAGACAACAAATTTGAATAAACTCTCCTATTAAAAAGCTGAAACAGGTAATATAAAATAGCAACATAATGGCATATATTGTTTGCGTACAATATGCCTAAAATAAGGACAGTGTGGAAAATAGCTATCTTTGAAAAAGAGCAATAATGATAAATGTGATAGAAAGTATAAATGGGATAGAGGAAGCAATCAGTGTTAGACTCATGATTTTCTTTACCCCATAAAGTGTAGCAAACATTTTTCAGAAGCACTGTGGTATGGTAAGATATGGCTTTATCAGGCCGATGCTCTATCCACTGAACCAAAACGGCTAGGGCAGTGATCATGGTGGAATTTTAGCCTGTATTTGAATATGTTTCTAGAAGTCCCTAGATTATTCAGGTCATATGTGTCTTTAAAAAACAACAGTAGGAATTAATGAATATAGTGAAGAGGCTAAGTAATCAAAGACTTTGAATAGCCCATGCTAGTTCAGTGTGACCCTCTAACTTGTGTCTTTCATATATTGAGAATCCTCTCAGATTTCATTATAGGAAGTAAGGGCTTACTAAGAAGTTTTGAAAGCTCTTACTTTGTGAGTCTTAAAAAGTCACTGGAGAAATGGAGAATTCACGAATGGCGAGGTTTTGGTCTGGTGAATAAGTGGACACGGCCAGGGCAAACAGTGTTGCTGACCCTCTGTCCCGGAGAGCTAAGCTCAGTCCAGATCTGACGACAAAGTGAGACAGCAAAACCCCAGGGGCGGCGGGGGCAGAGCACTGACCTGGGAGCCAGGGCTGGGTTCCCTGCCTTTCCTCACCTGGGTCTCGGACGAGTCCTGTGCTGTGTAAAGGGAGCCACCTGCCCTCAAGACAGGTTTCCTGGAAGTCAGTCACAAAGGTGCCTTGAAATGCAGGCAGCCACGTGATTCTAGGCTTTTGTTTTTTTAAGGTGAGCTTCTCTTTCCCCCCATTATTGTTAAAAAGCACATACCAACTTGTGGTTGAGCGACAGTCCCCACATAAAAGTGAAAAGTCTGCTCTTCCAACCAGAAACCGCGGGAAGGACAGTAGAATTCTTGAGGGAGGCGAGTCCTGATGGCAGAAGTGACCGAGGCACGGCTGGTTGGTCAAGAGTGTTCTGACTTGGGCATGTTCTTTTTCTCCCCTAGGTTGATGAAAACATGAAAGTCGCACAGAAACGAGATGCTGTCCTGCAGGGAATGTTCTATTTCAGGAAAGATATTTGCAAAGGTATTACATCCTCTTGGATTTCTGGGGCCACTTAGGCTACAACAGGCTACTAACGCTGCTCTGCCATCACCAGCAGGTGGCAACGCTGTGGTGGACGGCTGTGGCAAGGCCCAGCAGAGCGCGGAGCTGGCCGCAGAGGAGCACGAGGAGTACGCCCTGATGAGCATAGACACCATCATCAATGGGAAGGTAGGGTCCTGTGCGCCCACTGCCTGCCGGCTGGCCGACACCCGCAGGCAGGGAGCTCATGGCATCTCCTGCTTCGTGCAGGAAGGCGTGTTTCCTGGGCTGATCCCGATTCTGAACTGCTACCTGGAAAACATGGAAGTGGATGTGGACACCAGATGTAGCATTCTGAACTACCTGAAGCTGATTAAGAAGAGAGCATCTGGTATGGTATCCTTTGCTTCCTTTTTCTTTAAAAACAAATCTCAATGTAGGCAGAATCTCACAATCTTAAAATACTCAGATTCTTAAAGTCGCCAACTTTTCAGACCTCACGGACCACCAGTGGTCCACAGACCACCGGTTGGCGACGCTGTTTTAAAGGATGCATTTATTAGTACACACCTTTTCACATTTTGACATCTCTACAGTCAGATAGTCACAGTTTAATTAGTGCTCTATTTTTTAATACTGATTCATAAAATTGGTGCATCTTTAAGTCGATGGCATTGTAGAGAATGCAACACAGTGCCTAGTTGTGACTGAAGTCCAGCTGTGTTCATTGTGCACCATCGCGGGCTCTTTTTGTAGGGCTGAGTAACTCTGTAAGGTAAATAAGCAACACAGCGAGGGTGTCGGGGTCTTCAGCCTGCTGCATACAGTGAGTACCCCAGGAACCCCTCCTCTGTTAGCCGGGGGAGCCGTCAGCTGTGAACCAGAGCAACAGTGATGGTGGTAATGGCATCTGTATTTTACAAAGGATGTACCCCCAATGGTATGTCTGCCAGTTTCCCACTCCACTTACTGTTCTTTTTCTCTCCACCTCTTTGACCAAAGGTCGCTCTGGCAAACGCGGGACCTGCTGTCCTCTGAGGTAGTCTCATGACACGGCCAGCATATGTGGTCTTAGCCCTCTGGCCAAATGGGAGGCCGCGTGCGTTAGTGCACGTGCTGGCTCTCGTTCTTACGAGCTGGCAGTGTCGGTCAGTGTGCGGGTAGCGTCTGCCAGGCAGCACTGGGATGTGTGTGGTCTAGTTGCCTGCCTGCAGCCTGAAATTCTTTTCCAGGAGGAGTCCTGCAAACACTATGGAAAGCATGCTTTCCCAGCCCCGCCACCTGGCCACACCAAAGGTCACGCTGCTTTTTCTTGAGGATTATGCATCCTGGCCAAATGTCAACTTGTATTTTAAAAAGCACTACTATTAAAGTGTCCTAAAAAATTTTTTTCTTTTTCAGGAGAACTAATGACAGTCGCCAAATGGATGAGGGAGTTTATTGCAAACCATCCCGACTACAAGCAAGACAGTGTAATAACTGATCAAATAAACTATAGTCTTATTTTAAAGTGCAACCAAATTGCAAATGAATTATGTGAATGCCCAGAGTTACTTGGACCAGCATTTAGGAGAGTAAGATATAGCGGAAGTAAAATGGACTCTTCCAACTAGGCCCCTGCAGAGGGACTTGCTCGCTGTTTCATTGGAGAACCGGCCACAGCTCCAGCCAGAGCCCGGCGTGACCAGGTTAACGACCGTACCGGTTCCTGGACCCATGGGCCGGAAATGGCCTGAGAGGCTTCCTTCAGCGGGTAAATCTAGAGTTTTTACAGCGAACCTGTACATAGTAAAGTATTTTTATGATTAACAATGTATTTTAATAACATATCTAAAGTGTGGACTGGCTTGTACATTTCCCAATTCTCACTCTGGAGCAACAACTGCCCAAGCAGTTTTGTAAATGTGATGTTCTAGTAATTGTACTATATCTGCATTCCAGAGTTCAAAATGTTTACTGTAAATATTTGTGTTTTGTTTTTTTTTTAAAGACTTTACCTGGACCTGATTCACTGAAATTTATCACTTCACTTTAAAACCAGTTTGTCTTATTGATGTTCAGGCATCTCCTTTGTTTTATATTTAAAATCACTGTCGGATCCATTGAAGGGCTTCAGGGGTAACCCTGGATTCTGGCACCTTATCTGTTTCTTTTGTAATCGGAATAGCTAACCACCAAGTAAACCCGTCGAACTGATGGCTGTTATGAAAGGTACTGTCCTTTTTTATTGATTTCGATGAGGCAGGCATTAAAGAGAACTCTATAGGAAGGCAGGAGACCTGTACCCTGAGTTCACATGTAGTGATTATTGGGGGTGGTGGTTTTCCTCCTGTGCATAATATACAGAGTGTTGTCAGAAATGGCACCCGCTCCTGTGTCTGTTCTGGTTGCTGCTGTGGATGTAAATGTGCAAATCAGGTGCAGTTGCTGAAGGTTGTTTTCTTACTTTTTGTAGTTTCCAGTAAGCATATTGACAGACTTTCTTATAAAAGCCATTTGCTCTAGGTTTTACCTGGAGGATATCCTACATGCTGCTTATGCCCTTCTCCGTGAAGCTCTTCAATAAATCATGATATGCACTAAGTTTTGTGAATCAAGCCCCTAAATGTTTAACTGTAAATAAGTTTCACATAATTGTTAGAGCATTTTGTTGAAGGTTTTTTCCAATTAAAGTCTTAACCTACTTCAGAAATAACTATGTACAGTAGATTATGCAAACCTTAACAGGCATCAATATTTAAACTAATGTGAATTTTAAGAGATTGTGACAAAGCTGCTTCTGCTAAGCCTGCTTAGGTATAAATACTAGGGTTTGTGCTATGTTTCATACACGCTCGTTGGAGGATTAATGAATGCCTGCTTTTCATTTGCTTGTAAATCAGGTTGTAAAAAGGCAGATAAACTAAATGTTTGTGGGATGAGGAAATAAAAGAATGGAATGAGAATCCTGAAAACTGTTGAATGTGTGAGTTCTGCAACTAAAGGGGTGGTGGCGGGTTTGTCTGTTTAATCATCTCAGATATTCTGTGAAATTGTTTTCATTGCAATCCTCAGAGGTTTTCAGAAAGAAGCATAGTGACAAAAACAGACGCCTCATCTGCCCTGTAGCTGTCAACCCCAGAGGGGAGGGGAGGGAGGGGCTTGATGTTGGGCTGAAGTGACCCCTGAGCCACAGAAAGTGAATTTTTTTACTCCACACTGCTCAGCTGAGCCAGTGGTCACGGGAACGCCGAGGAACTCAGGTGCTGACGCACACTCCACCTAAGCTGGAGAATCTGCAGGTCCTGCAGAGAATCCTTTCAACCCATGGCTGCGTCAACATGCTCTCAGCCCTGAGTTCATGTGATCATATCCTGGGGCCAGTCTGCTTTCCTCAGCTTTGTTTACCTGAACAGCCCCAGGGCTGTGCTTGTCTAATTAACCTGCATACAAACCTCTTGGGGGTCTTATTAACAAGCACAGCCTGGCTCTGTGGGCCACACCGAGTAACATGGACTTACTGTACCCAAGTTGTAGACATATCAGTTGTCTATCTCCAATGACACTTGTTTTTCATTCCATCGGTTCTATCTAGGTTTTTTCTTAGTGAAAAACAGGTAATGGTGCTCTGTCTCCAAGACAAAGTGAGTTGCGCCTTTCATGAGCTTTACCACCTGAACACAGCGAGGACTAGTTTTAGGAACAATAACTATTAACGCTGAGATAAGTAAAAGGGCTTTCTCCCTTTGGCTGAGCCCAGACTCAGACCCTCACTTAGAAGACAGCCTCACCCACTCTTACCCCAAGTCTAGTCTCCTGCCCGTCAGTTGCTCCTGGGTTAACAAGAGGTTCTTCCGGGTCCCAGGACGGCTCTGCCCCTACCACTTGGCTCTTCCTGAGGTTGCTCATGAGCCTTTCCATTCATAAATGGAGCTCGCTCGCCATGGCCGCCTGTCTGCACTGCCTCCTGACAAAATTAACCGAGTGACCAGTGGAAGTCCAGGGTGTGGCACAGCGTAGGCCACATCTCTGAGGAGCTGAAGGGACATTTCTAGGGACCTGGAACCATGCAAAGACAAAAAATGGATGTTCCTTCAAGCAGTTGGTAGCCTGGGAGGCCAGGCCTTTCAAGTTCGAGGTCAACCCCCGACTTTCCCTGAAGATAAGCCGCTGCTCCTTGATGCTTTTGCATAAACATTCAACGTCCCCTGAACATGCATGCCAAGTGTATGTAGAAAAGTGTGAGTTAGAGGGGACTGATGAGGTTTGGACTCGGAGTGAGGAGACCTTGGTGGGCGGCCTTGGCAGGTGCACTCCAGCCTGTTCAGGTCTCGGTATGTGGAGCTGAACGAGGCTGGCTCATCCCCGGAGCCCCTTCCACTCTTATTGTCCTATGACATGAAACACTACAAAGCTACGTATGGAAGATGCAGTAAGTGCCGCCCACTTTTCATTTCAAACCAATCGCAAAGCTATAATAATCAGTATGGTATTGGCATAAAAACAGACAGATCAAAGGAACAGAATAGAGAACCCAGAAATAAATCCATGCACTTACGGTCAATTAATTTATGACAAAGGAGCCAAGAATATATACAGCCTCTTCAATACATGGAACATGGGAAAACTAGACCACTAGCTTACACCAGACATGAAAATCAATATGAATTAAAGACTTGAAAACCAGCACCTGAAACTATAAATTCTAGAGGAAAACAAGTAGTAAGCTCTTTAATATTGATCTGGTGGTGATTTTTTTTAAAAACCTGACACCAAAAAAAAAAAAACAGGTGGGACTACATTAAACTAAAAAGTTTCTGCACAGCAAAGGAAACCATCAACAAAAGGAAAAGGCAACCCACTGAATGGGAGGACAGGTTGGCAAATCATATCTGATAAAGGGTTAATATCCAAAATATAGAAACAACTCAATAGCAAAAATCCCCGAGTAACCCAACTTAAAAATGGGTAGCAGATCTGAGTAGACATTTTCCCAAAGAGACATAGATGTCCAACAGGTACCTGAAAAGATGCTCAACATCATTAAACATCAGGGAGATGCAAATCAAAACTACAATGAGATGTCACCTTACTTCACACCTGTTAGAATGGGTATTTGATAAGAGGAAATAAAAGTATTGGTGAGGATGTGGACAAAAAGTAACCCTTGTGCCCTACTGGTGGGAATGTGAATTGGCACATCCACTATGGAAAACAGTTCAGAGGCTCCTAAAAAACTTGAAACTAGAACTATCACATGATCTAGCAATTCTACTTCTAGGTATTTATCTGAAGAAAATGAAAACAGTAACTTGAAAATATATCTGCACCTTCATGTTCATCGCAGCATTATTACAAGAGCCAAGATAATGGAATCAACCAAAGTGCCCATCAATGGATGAATCAATAAAGATGTATATATACACAATGGGATATTAATCATATAAAAACAACTTGCCATTTGCGACAAGGGTGGCCCTTTGAGGGCATTATTCTAAGTGAGATAAGTAAGAGACAAATACCTTGTGATCTCGTGTATGGAATAAAAATCAACCAAGAAACTAAACTCAGCCAGGCCGGTGTAGCTCAGTGGTTGAGCATCGACCTATGAGCCAGGAGGTCACGGTTCAATTCTGGGTGAAGGGAACATGCCCGGGTTGCAGGCTCGATCCCCTGTAAAGGGCATGCAGGAGGCAGCCAAGTAATGATTCTCTCTCATCGATGTTTCTCTCTCTCCCTCTCCCTTCCTCTCTGATATCAATAAAAATTTTTTAAAAAAAAAAAACCAAGCTCACAAATATATATAATAAATTGGTTTTTACCAGAGGTAGAATGGGTGAAGGGGGTCAAAAGGTATAAACTTGCATAGTAACTATAGTTTATAACACTGTTCTGCATATTTGAAAGTTGCCATGAGATCTTAAACGTTTCCACAAGAGAAAAAGAATCTGTGTCTGGTGGTGGATGTTAACTAGATTTTTAAAAATTATTTCACAATGGTGTTAGATAATAGTGCCCTCTAGTGGTGTATTCTGTAGTTGCCTTTTTAGGTTCATTGGTTTACAACTATTCAGACACACTCTGAACAAAGATAATATAAAGTGAAATTCCATATTGAAATCTATTTTATTTCTATTGTCATTTTAAAATGGAAATGGGCTTGTGTTCTAGCATAATCAGTTAAAGCTATGGATTTCACTTTTATTACTGTTTTAGCTATAACCACACATTTTATGTTGTATTTTCATTGTTCAGTTATAAATATTTCCTTATTCCTTGTAATTTTTTATTTGATCCATGGGTAATTTAGTAGTGTATTTCTTCATTTAAAAGTCTGTATTTATCCAAAGAAGACAAAAATACTGATTTAAAAAGATATGCATCCTTATGTTCATTGCAGCATTACTAGTAATGGCCAAGATATGGAACTAACCTAGATGTCCACCAGTATATGAATGGATAAAGAAGATGTGGTACATATATAATGAAATATTACTTGGCCATAAACGGAAATGAAATCTTGCCGTTTGCAACATGGATAGAACTAGAGGGTATTATGCTGACATGTCAGACAGAGAAAGACAAATGCCATATGATCTCACTTTTATATTGAACCTAAAAAAAGAATAAATAAAACCGAAACTGGCCCATAGATATAGAGAACAAGCCAATGGTTGCCAAAGGGGAGGGGTGTATGGAAGGGGAAATGTAATTACTCTTCGACCCAGCAGTTGCACTCTTAGGCATTTATCGCAGATAAATAAAAACTTATATTTACACCCAAACCTGTACACAAATTTTCATAGCAGCTTTACTCCTAGTAGCCAAGCACAGGAAACAACCTCAATGCCATTCAAGGGGTGAATGGTTAGCAGTGGCACATCTACATCACCAAATACTCTCAGCAATAAAAAGGGTCAAACTATTGACACAGCAATAATCTGGATGAATCTCTAGTGAATTCTGTTGAGTGAAAAAGGCCCAATAACCATTAGTGGTCAAAAGAGTGTAGGGACGGGGTGGGGAGGGAGTAGGAGAGCAATGGGTATGGTTATAAAAGAACAGCACAAAAGAGCTCTGAAGGATGGACTTGTTCTGCATCTAGACGCTGATGATGAACACATGAACCTGCACGTGTCATAGAATTGTATAGATACACATAAGAGTACAATGAAAACTGGGAAAACCTGAGGAAGACCAGTGGCTTATATCAATGTCAACACCTTGGTTGTGATACTGTATTATAATCCAAACTGTTTCCATTGGAGAACACGGGGTAAGAAACAGATCTCTCTGTATCATCTCCTACAACTGCATATAAATCTGTATCTCAAAGTTTAAAAAGCGTAGTTGTGCCAGGTGCCAGGAGGTATAAAGAGGTAACACATGTTCTTGCCATTAAAGAGTTTATTACCATGGAGATCCAGAGTTAGGAAGCCAGTGGTTTGAAAGTGGCCAAGGCCGATTGGGCACGTGCAGGAGAGAGTTTAGTTGTAAGACATGACGTCTGTTGTCAGGTAATCACACCAGTGAACATTTGAAAACAATCGGGCAGTCCTGATCCGGCCAGTCTTGAGCACCATTTCAGCCTTATGGGAAGGGCGCTGCATTCTTTGCCAAAAGTCTTAGGTTCTGATCTCAGTCTGGATCTACATATTAACTGAGGAGAGATCCAACCACTCGATTGCTCTATTTGAAAAAAGGAAATTGGAGTACATTTCTAGAATCCTTACTGCATGAGCATTTGATATTTTTACAGTGCCTTAAAATGACTCTAAAATGAGTAGTAAAAAAGAATGTTTTTCATCCCCATTTTGACAAGTAGAACCATCTCCAGTGACATCATTGCTCCCTCTCCCCCAACCCTTCAAATGTTTATTGCACTTCTGCTCTAGGGCGTATGTTGAGTTTTCGGTTTTATTTGGATTACCGATGCACCCCCCCCCCTCCTCCAACCGCATTCTGGCACCTTTCT